GACCCATTTTTAAGAACGAGAAAAATGCTGACCATATAAATTTGTCTACTGCTGCATCAATTAAGGACGATTTAATAAATTGGGCAGTACAATTTCAGATATCACATGTAGCAGTTACTGCATTATTGTTAATTTTAAAAAACCATGGCTTTAGTTATTTGCCAAAAAGCTCTAAAACATTGATGAAAACACCAACATATACTAATGTACGAAGAATTGCACCAGGCGAATATTTTCATAATGACTTAAGATCAGCACTAATGACGTTCCTACAAAAAAGTCAAAATGACATTGATTTAATTTCAGTGCAAATCAGCATAGATGGACTGCCAATTTCAAAATCTTTTAATAGTCAATTGTGGCCTATTTTAGGCTCGGTGAGACCCAACTTTTGTGATATTTTTATCATAGGTTGTTATTTTGGTCCTAAGAAACCGTATGATTGTAATGAATTTTTGCGTGATTTTGTGACTGAGGCAAAAATTCTTTTAACTGAAGGACTTGAATATAAAGGAAAACATATACGTGTATCCATAGATTCCTTAATTGCTGATGCACCCGCAAAATCTTTTGTAACTGTCACAAAAGGACATACCGGTTACTTTAGTTGTTCAAAATGTACAATTGAAGGTGAATATATTAATGGGAGAATGTGCTTCCCAGATATAAATTGTCCTAGACGGACAAAAATACTCAATCCAGTGTGATGTTCTATTTGTCTTTGTACAAAGTTTTTTTGTACAAAGACAAATAGAACATCACACTGCATTGAGTATTTTATCAGATATACCGAATTTTGAAATGATAACTAACATCCCGTTGGATTATATGCAACTAGTTTGCATTGGCGTGGTCAAGAAAATTTTGAATTTTTGGTTATCCGGACCATTAAATATTCGATTGCCGACACGATCATTAAGCAGTATTTCCAGATTCTTAATTGAAATGCGATCATCGATACCTATAGAATTTGTTCGTAAACTACGAGAATTACATTTCTTAAGCTTATGGAAAGCTACAGAGTTCAGACTTTTTCTCCTATATATTGGTCCCATTATTTTGAAGAATTATATCAAGAAAAATATCTATAAGAATTTTTTAACATTACACGTAGCCATTCGGTTATTGTGTTCTCCAGATCTTTTACATATTACTTATGCAGATTCTTTACTACAACATTTTGTGCAGTCATTCAAAATTTTATATGGGCCACAGCATATATCTTTTAATATACATGGACTGATTCATTTAGCAGATGATGTTAGAAAATTTGGACCTCTGGATACATTCAGCGCTTTTCGATATGAAAATTATTTAAAAAAATGAAACAGTATCTTAGAAAAGCTAAACGTCCCTTACAACAAATTCACAATCGTTTAACAGAATTGGAATATTGTGTACCGTTTGAAAAGAAACACAGAAAAATAGGTGCACATAGAACACATAATATGGGCCCAATCTTACCTGGAATAAATGGTTGTCAATATTCAATATTTTCAAGAGAAGATTTTACCCTATCTATTTATAATCCAAATAACTGCTGTAGTTTAAACGATGGTTCGATTGTTATCATAGAGAATATTGTCACTAATGCTGCTAATGATCTTTTTATTATTGGTCGAAAATTCATAAATTTAAGTGATCTCTATACTGACCCATGTAATTCCTCCTTCTTAGGAATATATAAGTCGACAGCAAAATGTGAAAATTTATTGGCCTGGCCTTTAACTTTTGTTAAAACAAAATATGTAAAATTCAATTTTTATGATACATTCATACTTCTACCATTGTTGCATAAGGTATGTATATCTTTATATGTGTATTTTTTACATGTTTCGTTGATGCATTCTACATGTACGTTGCATGTATTTTTTCAGATTTAATTTATTTGAACATGGCTCTGAACAATCCATTTCATTTAATAGAATTTGAAGATGGAATCCAAGTAATACCTGAGAAGTGGATACAAAAAAACACCAACAAATGTTGGTATCCCAATTATAAGACAGATCAGTATATCATTAAAGCAATAAAAAGACAACAAACTCCTCAAGATGATTGGTCCTCAACAAGGTTGATGTATCCAATTAAACGAGTATTTGGTGTATATGGTAAGTAAACATCACAAGATTTCTTTTAATTTGCTATCTATCGTCTTTAGAAAATATTAGAAAAAACATTGTTTATAAAAATTATTAAATGTCATATTTTTATAGAATCCTATGGTGAAGCATGCAATAAACTAAAAAAGGTCGAAATGAATTCCGATATTAATTCCGATATCGATGACAAAGCACAAAGAAAATTTAGAGCCAGAAAACAATATGAGACTGATGAAAGCGATGATGAAAGTGATAGTGATTCGTTGACCTTACCAGTATATCCAAAAGTGCCTATAGTTGATACAAGTAAGCAATATTAAAATTGTTTTTATTATAGTTCTTGAGATGTTTAAATATTCATTAAAAAGTCTAAAAAAAAACATTAAATCTTTATAATCGAGCAGTGACATATTTAAAAAATATTTTAAAATTTAATAAATTGTAAATAATATTACAATATTCGTGTCATCTCTTTTTAAATAATAACAATACAAAAATTTTTTTAGATATGCACAAAGAAGATTCATGCAAACATACACAAAAAGAAGTTGAAGAATGAGATATTAGAAGTAAGAACATAATTCTGTATCGTATATTTTTAGACAAAATTAACAATTCTTAGTTGATTAATATTTTAAATAATTTTATTATGATAGTATAAATAATACATGTATATATAAGTAGGCATATAAGGCGGGTTCTAACCCAGGTCCTCTCAGGGGGGGTGAGGCGCGCGGGGGATTACGGCAGCGGCGCGTGTTAGATGTTTTATCGCAATATTGTATTACATGCCCGATTGATAAACAATATTGCGTACGAACATGTTCGGTTTATAAATAATATAAACATCAGCATTTCTTCGAAATGCATCGCATGCGAGAACAACGCGTGCGAGGGAGAGGGAGCGATGGCGCGAGAGCAACGCGTGCGAGGGAGAGGGAGCGATGGCGCGAGAACAACGCGTGCGAGGGAGAGGGAGCGATGGCGCGAGAACAACGCGTGCGAGGGAGAGGGAGCGATGGCGCGAGAACAACGCGTGCGAGAGAGAGGGAGCGATGGCGCGAGAACAACGCGTGCGAAGGAGAGGGAGCGATGGCGCGAGAACAACGCGTGCGACGAACGAGGCTTACAACTAGCGCGAGAGAGAGAGACTTATAACTAGCGCGAGACGAGACTTAGATTAACACATGGGAGATAACGATACTTATAACTAGCGCAGGGATGGAAACGCAAGGAGAGGCATGCGAAATAATTAGATTTTTTTAAATTAAAATATATATAAAATTTATTTTAAAATGTGTGTATGTGTATATTATACATATTTATGTGTGTGTGTGTATGTGTATTTAAAATTAAAATTAAAATGTAAAATATAAAAATATAAAAATATAAAAATATAAAATGTAATGTTATAATAAAATATAATTATAAAAAATATATAAAATTAATTTGGTGGGGGGGGAGTTGCGCCGGTTCAGGGGGAGCCAGCTCCTGTAACAGAAAAAAAGATATTGGATTAATACAAGCATAGTTAGAGAGAGAGATTTAAAGATAAGGTTTAAAAAAATAGTACTTACAATGTTTTAATGTGTGCACATGGGGCACATGTCGCACGGTAATATTTGATACAGTGATTTCCTGCACTCTTTGCAGGATATATTGCTTAAATGTCGATAATTCATGCAGCGATGTTCCCGTACAGCTCTAGCTTCCAGAAATAAAAACGATAGTCTTAGGAAGCATTCTGCACAATATTTCCGTCCATATTCTACATAATAGAACGATATGCGACATATTTTTATTGTGTCGTTCATCGTCAATATTTCCGGTAAGTCTAAATTTCGTTCTCTGATTTGTAATAGTTCATCATCACTATCGACACTCTCGTAATCGCTGTCCGCTAAAGGTTCTACTTCGATGTCATCTTCGTCATCTTCGTCATTTTCATCAACATTCATTACATTATTATTGTCAATGATCCTCACATTATTATTATTTTCGATGATCATCACATCGTCATCATCGATGATCATAACATTATCATCATCATCGTCATCATTAATGATAATGATATTTTCTTCGGCCATGTTATAAAATGCACAAGAACGATGAAAAAAATATTCACTTCTTCAGTTTCGATTTCTCGACTCGCGCACAGCCAAACTCTTTCTGACAAGGCAGCGAGATCTCGATACGAGATCGTATAATAGAGATGCGACATTATCGCCATATCGCCGTAAACACCTCGTAAAAAAAAATATGCGCGGTCCCATATATTTATCGAAAGTATAAGCGATATTGTATTACGTGCCCAGTTGATAAACAATATAAACACCTTAGAATCATCTCGCATGTTTTTTCTCGGAAGGAATGCAATGTACATCAGCACCGATGTTCGGCTGCTTTGCACCCTTGCTTCCACCGCTCGTATATCAGCGCCGATGTTCGGCTGCTTTGCGCTTTCGCGGTACATCCCTTACCCCCCGATATAAGTAATTCTAGATTTTTTTCCGTTCAAAGTATCCTTATCTCTCTCTCATTGAATTATACAGCATGCGAATTTATAAACAATATAAACAAATGGCACCTCCCAGAATCGTCCTCCGTAATTTTTTCTCGGAAGAGACGATATTGCGACGCGTATGAGCGCCGATGTTCGGCTGCCTTCGTTTCCTCCTTCATATATAAGAAGGATTGAAATGCATCAAATCATCATAGTATGTGATTTGAACGCCCATCGACGTGTCGGTTGCAAAAAAAAAGTATAGCGGTGTTCCATTAGAAAGATTTTTGCGCGATTTCACGTTCAAGATAGAGAACGGTATTGTTTATCGTGTGCAAAAGTCATCCGTAGAAAACTGTGACGTAGTGCTTTAAAAGTGTGAAAAAGACAGGAAAATGGAAAACATCGAGCAGACCGAACGCGATCTGATGGAGGGATCTCGCCAAGTTGCAACCTTGGGCGAGTATTTCGCGTGGCTGCAGCGTTACGAGGAATTGATCCAAGAGCTCGAAGAACGCAGTCGTGTCAAGCGTCCGCGGCTCTCGATCGGAAACAGGCAATCTCTGGTGGCTAAAATCGCGCGATTAGAAGGTGCAAAGACTCGATTGCAGAGACGGTTTATTCCCAGTGGTGGTGATTACAGCGGTGATAATAACGCTGAAAGACTCGTTTGGCGAGAGATCGATACCGCGTTCGACAGCCGTATTCTGACCGGTGCCGTGATTAATGCAAACTATATCGAACCTCGTCAATTTCTCGAGGATGCCGAAGACATCGTGCTCGAGCAACAAGACGTTCTAAAAAGACACAACAGTGTAAAAGTGAACACTGTGTTTAATGGTGAATTTGTGTCGGCTGATAAGCGTGCGAATAAAAGTGTGAATACGAGAAACTGTGAACTCTTTCGCACATCGGATTTACGCAAGTGGTTCGAGCGCCGCGTTATCGAGCCCACTTTAGCGTCTTTGGAAGAGTTTCAGGAACGCGATAGCGGCTGGGCATTGTCGCGAATACAGAATTTGACTGTTAATGTAAATAAATATAATCCAATGCGCGCGGGATGCCACATTAAATTGTCGCGGGAGATTATGATGAAAAGAGCGGTGGTTAACGTACAGTCTAAAGACAATGCGTGTTTCGCGTGGACAGTGGTCGCCGCTCTATATCCCGCAGAAAGGTGGAACGAGAATCATCGTATCCACCTTACCTTAGTGCTGAATCTCCGGGACATTGAGTTTCCAGTAACTTTAAATCAAATTAAAAAATTTGAACTCGCAAACAGTATCTCGATCAACGTGTACGGCATCGAAAGCGAGAACATTGTTCCACTACGACTGACAGAGCAGAAGCGAGATAAGCACGTGAATCTGCTATACGTGGAAAACGGCAACAACGTAGGACATTTCGCGTGGATAAAAAATTTATCCCGGCTCGTGAGCTCGCAACTGAGCAAACACAAGAATCACAAATATATCTGCGATCGGTATGTATATATTAATATAAAATAATTATAATTTATATAACAAATTGTTCAAAATTAAAAAAAATTTTCTTTTACAGATGCCTGCATTATTTTAGTTCAGATGACAAGTTGCAGTCGCATACGGTCGACTGCGGGGAGATGGATGACTGCGCTATCCGATTGCCGAGCGACAAGGACAAGTGGCTCGAGTTCAACAATTACAACAGGAGCGGCTTCCATTCGTCGTGTACGCCGACCTGGAATGCGTTCTGACCAAAACGGAAGAAGAACAACAACAACAAAAATTGTACCAGCATCATCGGGTATTTAGTATAGCGTATTATATGCATTGTTCGTACGATGAATCTTTATCGGCGTATCATTCGCGTCGTAGCGTCGATTGTATAGCGTGGTTCGTCGAAGATCTTAAAAATTTAGCGATTCGCATTAAGAATATTTTAACGACCAATGTCTCCATGGTTAATTTAACGTCCGAAGAGAGTGAAAAATTTTACAACTCCACTCAATGTCATATATGCGAAAAGCCGTTCGCGCAAGACGATACACGCGTTCGCGATCATTGTCATCTGACCGGGCGGTACAGAGGTCCCGCGCATTCAAATTGCAATTTAAATTACAAAGAATCTTTTTGTATTCCGATAGTTTTCCACAATTTATCCGGTTATAATTCACACTTTATTATCGAGGAAATAGTTATAGCGTTCGAAGGGAGCGTCGAGTTACTTCCGATAACGAAAGAAAAATATATTTCGTTTACGAAATATGTCGACCTTAAGGAAGGCGATTGGAAAAATAATGTAAAATTATGCTTCATCGATTCGTACAAATTTCTTACATCGAGTCTCGACAAATTGGCGTCTTATCTAGACAAAGACAAGCTCAAAATTTTAAAATTGGAATTTTAAAATTTATCCGCGGAAAATTTCAGTTTATTAACGCGAAAAGGTGTCTTTCTATACGAATACATCGACTCGGTAGATAGGTTGCGAGATACGCGTTTACCACCGCGCGAATCGTTTTATAGTTCCTTGACCGGTGAAACTATATCCGAGAGCGATTACGCGCACGCCGAGAACATCTGGACGCGATTCTCCATTCGAACGCTGGGCGAATACAGCGACATGTATCTCAAAATCGACGTCTTGTTATTAGCCGATATTTTCGAAAATTTTCGCGATAGCTGCATAAAAAGTTACGGACTCGACCCTGCGTATTACTATACTCTGCCCCGATACACGTGGGACGCCATGTTAAAGCATACAAAGATCACGTTCGAGTTGCTTACAGATATCGACATGGTCATGTTTATAGAACGCGGTATACGAGGTGGTCTGAGCCAATGTTCCAACAGATACGCGCGCGCTAATAACAAGTATATGCGACAATCGTACGATCCATCGAAACCATCGTCTTGCTTGATGTATTTTGACGTTAATAATTTATACGAATGGGCAATGTGTCAACCGTTGCCTTACGCCGATTTTCGATGGGTCGACGACGCGTCGAATTTTGACGTATCATCTATAGCGTTAGATTCGCCCACGGGACATCCTCGAAGTCGATCTCGAGTACCCGCAACATCTTCACGATACGCACACCGACCTACTGTTTTGTCCGATACGCGACAAGCCGCCCGGCAAGCGGCAAGACAAGCTCCTCGCAACGTTATACGATAAGAAGCGTTACGTGATACACTACCGTAACCTACAACAGTGTACGCGTCACGGCCTTCGTATCACAAAAATACATAGAATTTTACAGTTTTCTCAATCTCCGTGGCTTCGAAATTACATAGAATTAAATACACGTTTCAGAACACTCGCGAAAAACGATTTCGAGAAAAATTTATATAAATTAATGAACAACGCGGTATTTGACAAAACGATGGAAAATGTGCGTAATCGGGTCGATGTAAAATTATTAACAAAATGGGACGGTCGGTTCGGCACGGAAGCGATGATCGCGAAACCGAATTTCCACAGCAGAAGCGTCTTTTCGGAAAATCTGATTGCGGTAGAATTGCGTAAACTCGAGGTGAAATTTTACAAACCGATTTACGTGGGTATGTGCATACTCGACATATCCAAGACGTGTCTGTACGAATTTCATCACGAGTACATATTTCCTCTGTATCGCGACAAATGTAAGATCATGTACACCGATACGGATAGTCTCATATATCACATCGAGTGCGCGGATGTGTACGACAACATGAAGCGCGACATTGTTAGATTCGACACGAGCGATTATGCGGTGGACAATGCGTACGATATACCGCTTGTAAATAAAAAGGTAGCAGGTCTGATGAAGGACGAAAACAACGGTGCCATAATGACCGAATTCGTCGGGCTCAGAGCAAAGATGTACGCGTTACGAGTGGACGGAAAGAAAGACACGAAGAAAGTTAAAGGTGTCAAGAGCAACGTTGTCGCGAGAACGATAACCTTCGAAGATTACACGCGGTGTTTAAATGAAGATATCGAAATGACGCGACAGCAGTCGTGTATAACATCTAAACTGCACCAAGTGTATACCGTCCGCGAGACGAAAATTGCTCTGAGTCCGTACGATGACAAGCGATATATCATACCTGATTCGACTAACACGTTACCATGGGGACATTATAGGATACCTTTGTAAATACATGTATATATTTTATTTATTACTGTATATATTTTGTACTTCATATAGTTTTATATAATACACATCTTGCACATTTATATTTCATATATTTTATGTAGCGCATATCTTACATACTTATATTAAGAATATAAATACATATATAGTATTATTGAAAGAAATATTAATAAACACTGTATATAAATTAAATCGTATTGTCCTTATGTATCCAAGAGTTGTGCGAATTGTCAAATCCCAGCTATTTCACGTAAATCTCGTCACCTCTCCTGCGCAGTATTTTCTCCACGAGATACACGTCGGGATAATTCGCGCGATGCAACTCGTGCTCGTAGAACGCTCCAGCGATAGGTTTTTTGCGATAATCCTCGAGTAGATAACTCACGGGATTAGTATGCTACACTTTTACAATTTTAAACACCTCGGTTGTCCAATTTGGCGTGTAACCCTTCTCGAAAACTGTCTTGTACTTGCTAACGCGTACCGAGTCACCTACTTTGAATTTCGCCGGACCCGCGATATTTACACGGTTGTATACAGCCAAGAGTCTCTCGGCGATCGCGGGGGTAACGTCGACGGGTCGCATACCGATCGTTCGATGCTTGCGCGCGTTGTAATCCGATACGAGTCCCGGCAACGCCTTGACCCACTTGTAAGATCCGTTCAACGTAAATCTTCCACATGTCGTCTTTTAGCGTGCGATTGAATCGCTCGACGATCGATGCCTTCAATACCGAATACGTAGAATAATGATTTATGCCATGTTTTCGCATGAGCCGTTGCACGTCGGTGTTATAAAATTCCTTCTCCATGTCGGTCTGTATGTTTTTCGGACACCTCTCGCTATCTCGAATTATCTCGGCGATAGCGTCAGCTGTCTCGCTTCCGCCTTTTCTCTTGAGCGGTACGGCCCACGCGTGCTTGCTCAACGCATCGATGACTGTGAGTATGTAGTTGTAACCTCTGTTGAAACGAGAGTACGGACGCATCTCGACAATGTCGGCTTGCCACAGATCATCGTATCCCCGCACTATTACGTGTCTTCGGGGGAAATTTTTTCTCGCCGGTGCGTGCAGTTCGTTCATCAACTACCGTTTCTCTAAATTATGTTGTTTCTTCGCTTCCCCGGTTATTCCCGATCGTCGTTGTTTCGATTCGTCGATCGAATTAGCCGTTCAATAACCGTTCATAACCGTTCAATTGCCGTTCGTAGCTGTTTAATTGCCGTTCAACTGCCGTTTGATTGCCGTTGCTGACCCGTTCGATTGCCGTTTATAGCCGTTCCTTAGCCGTTCACTGCCGTTCAATTGCCGTTCACTGCCGTTCTTGATCCCTTTGTTGGCGCGATTGACCCTGTTGATAGTCGTTTTTAAGCAGTCCGTAGCCTCGTTCGCAGTCGTTTCTGACCCGTTCGTAGCCTCGTTGACAATCGTTTTTGACTCGTTCGTAGCCGTTGTGGACTTGTATGCCGCCTCGTATGTAGCCGTTCCTGATGTGTTCATAGCCTTGTTCGCAGCCGTCCTTGAGATGCTCGTAGCCTCGTTCGCAGCTGT